CAGCTGAGCATGCTGGCACATGCCTGTAATCCCAGCTACTTGGGAGGCTGAGGTAGGAGAATTGCTTGAACCGGGACCCGGGAGGTGGAGGTTGCAGTAAGCCAAGATCACGCCACTGAACTCCAGCCTGAGCCATACAGCAAGACTCTGTCTCAAAAAAAAAAAGAAAAGAAATTGCATGTGTTACTGAGTAACACTATATTGTTTTCTGGAGTGCTTGTTCCAATTTACTATACATTAGAAGGCTATTAGCACTGAATGACTTTTAAAGAGTACATGATTCTAACACAGTTAGCCATTAGAAAATTTGCAGCCAGGCTCGGTGGCTTACGCCTGTAATCCGAGCACTTTGGGAGGCCGAAGCGAGCGATCACCTGAGGCCAAAGTTCAAGACTAGGCTGTCCAACATGGTGAAGCCCCATCTGTACTAAAAATAGAAAAATTAGCCAGGCATGGTGGTACGTGCCTGTAATCCCACTACTTGGGAGGTTTAGACAGAAGAATCACTTGAACCCCGGAGGCGGTGGTTGAAATGAGCCGAGATCACACCACTGCACTGCAGCCTGTGTGACAGAGTGAGACTCCAAAAAGAAAGAAAGAAAGAAGGAAGGAAGGAAGGAAAGAAAGAAAGAGAGAAAATTTGTTAGCTTACAAAAATGTGATATATACAAAACCTTTCAGAGCCGGGGAAGGTGGCTCACACTTCAGCTTGAGCCCAGGAATTGGAGACCAGTCTCGGCAACATGATGAGACCTAGGCTCTACTAAAAATAAAATACCAGACTGGCATGGTGGGACACACCTGTGGTCCCAGCTACTCAGGAGGCTGAGGCAGGAAGATTGCTTGCACCCAGGAGCTCGAAGCTTCAGTGAGCTATGACCGCACCACCGCACTCCAGCTTGGGTAACAGCAAGACCCCATCTCAAAAGAAAAAAGAAAAGAGAACCTTTCAGGAATAGTAGTATGGCCCGTGTTACTTTTGATTAACCAATTGTGATTGAAACTTTGCAAAATAATTTGCTAATATTTTTATTATGGCTTCATTATGCTGTATTGTATTTTGTTCACATGTGCTATTATTCCAGTAAGAGCAGCAATGAAGCTTTTTTTTTTTTTTTTTTTAGACAGAGTCTCGCTCTGTCACCCAGGCTGAAGTGCAATGGCGTGATCTCGGCTCACTGCAACCTCTGCCTCCCAGGTTCAAGTGATTCTCCTGCCTCAGCCTCCTGAGTAGCTGGGATTACAGGTGTGCACCACCATGCCCAGCTAATTTTTATATTTTTAGTAGAGACGGGGTTTCGCCACGTTGGCAGGCTGGTCTCGAACTCCTGACCTCAGGTAATCCTCCTGCTTCGGCCTCTCAAAGTGCTGGGATTACAGGCGTGAGCCACTGTGCCCAACCTGAAGCATATTTTATTTATTTATTTAGAGAGAGAGTCTTGCCCTGTCGCCCACACTGGAGTGCAGCGGTGTGATCTTGGTTCACTGCAACCTCCGCCTCCTGGGTTCAAACAATTCACCTCAGCCTCCCAAGTAGCTGGGACTACAGGAGCATGCCACCGTGCCCGGCTAAGTTTTATATATTTAGTAGCGACAGGGTTTCACCATGTTGGTCAGGCTGGGCTTGAACTCCTGACCATGAAGCATATTTAATCTGTTTTAGTTTTGCCTCGTCTAGCAAGATTACCTCCTGGTTATTACGCATATATGTGACCACTCATTAGTGTCTTCTAGGCAACTATATATATATTTTAGTGTGATGTGCTCTAGCAAAACAATGTCTACAATACTGTCATCTGATGCCCACAAGTATTAATACAGGCGTGTTAGGTGGATTCCAGGACCATGAAGAGCTGACAGATTTCATTTAATTAATTAATTATTATTATTATTATTTTTTGAGACAGAGTTATGCTCTTGTTGTCCAGGCTGGAGTATAATGGTGCGATCTTGGCTTACTGCAATTTCCACCTCCTGGGTTCAAGCGATTCACCTGCTTCGTCCTCTCAAGTAGGTGGGACTACAGGCATGCACTACCATGCCCAACTAATTTTGTATTTTTGGTAGGGGCGGGTTTCACCAGGTCAGGCTGGTCTCAAACTCCTGACCTCAGGTGATCCACCCGCCTCTGCCTCCCAAAGTGCTGGGATTACAGGTACGAGCCAAAGTGCCCAGTCAACTACTCAATTTTTTAGAAACAAGGACTCGCTCTGTTACCCAGGTGTGATCACAGATCACTGTAACCTTGAACTCCTGGGCTCAAATGATCCTCCTGCCTCAGCCTCCCGAGTAGCTGGGACTATAGGTGTATACCACCACACCCAGCCAGGTTTTAGTAAATATATTTTATCTGAAATCTACTTAAACACTTATGAAATACGAATGAGTTAACTCTTCTAGACATCCACATTTACTTACTTGAGTTCCTTTTACCCTTGAAATACATTCTCAGTTACCACTTACACTTAGATTCAAACATTTGGTGTTTAGCATTTTGTTTCCTGCATTACGCTTAAAAAAAAAAAAACAAAAAAAAACTACTGCAGGCCAGGCTCAGTGGCTCACGCCTGTAATCCCAGCACTTTGGGCGGCTGAGATGGGTGGATCATTTGAAGTCAGGAGTTCAGGACCAGCCTGGCCAAACATGGTGAAACCCCGTCTCTACTAAAAATACAAAAATTAGCCGGGCGTGGTGGTGAACGTCCGTAATCCCAGTTACTTGGGAGGCTGAGACAGGAGAATTGCTTGAACCTGAGAGGCAGAGGTTGCAAGATTGTGCCACTATACTCTAGCCTGGGTGACAGAGAGCAAGAGATAAATATATACGGTTCTTGATTAGACTGTTATTTCAGACCACTGTTAGGCACCTCCCCATGAATTCTATAATTTTTTAAATCTCATTATTTCAAAATGTCAGAATGAATCCCTGAATTCTTTATCAGAACCACCTCCCATAGACCTGGAGGATGTTACACTGGATGTCCCCAGAAACCTGCAACCATTCTCTTACTAATAAAATCTGGAAATTTTATTCATTTAGTTAGTTCTATAATAAAGACAGGGTCTTGCTTTGTTGCCCAGGCTGGTCTCAAATTCCTGGACTCAGGTGATTCTTCTGCCTTGGTCTCCCAAAGTGCTGGGATTACAGGCATGAGCACTGTGCCAGGCCTCACAATCTGGAAATATTGAATTTAGGGCACATCCAATCCAAGAGCATTGAGCCTCTTGTTACTGGATAGAGTTGTGTTTTGTGGCCGGCGCACCAAGTAATTCCACTGTTTGGGGGAAACATCACTTATTTGTTGTAGTTAACATACAAGGAGCTGGGCAAGTGACACATTGAATAATTTTTTTTTTTTTTTGGGATGGAGTCTTGCTCTTTGGCCTGGGCTGCAGTGCAGTGGTGTGATCTCAGCTCACTGCAACCTCCGTCTCCTAGATTCAAGCGATTCTCCTGCCTCAGGCTCCTGAGAAGCTGGGATGACAGGTGTGTGCCTCCACGCCTGGTCAAGTTTTGTATTTTTAGCAGAGACAGGGTTTCACCATGTTGGTCAGACTGGTCTCGAACTCTTGACCTCAGGTGATTCTCCTGCCTCTGCCGCCCAAAATGCTTGGGGTTTACAGGTGTGAACTACCACGCCTGGCCAGAGATTTGTTATTTTTTTTTATTTATTTTTTTTTTTTGAGTCAGTCTTACACTGTCACCTGGGCTGGAGTGCAATGGTGTAATCCATGCTCACTGCAGCCTCCACCTCTCGGGTTCAAGCGATTCTCCTGCTTCAGCCTCATGAGTATCTGGAATTACAGGCGCCGGCCACTACGCCCGCTAATTTTTTGTATTTTTTAGTAGAGACAGGGTTTCACTATGTTGGTCAGGTGGGTTTCGAACTCCTGATCTCACGATCTGCCCGCCAAGGTCTCCCAAAGCGCTGGGATTACAGGCCTGAGCCACCGCTCCCAGTATCAGAAATTGTTGTGTTTTTTTGAGAGGGAGTCTCACTCTGTCGCCCAGGCTGGAGTGTAGTGGAGCAATCCCGGCTCACTACAACCTCCTCCTTGCAGGTTCTAGCGATTCTCCTGCCTCAGCCTCCCAAGTAGCTGGGACTACAAGGCACACGCCACCACGCCCCACTAATTTTTGTATTTTTGGTAGAGACGGAGTTTTGCCATGTTGGCCAGGCTGGTCTGGAACTCCTGACCTCGGGTGATCCGCCGTTCCTTAACCTCCCAAAGGGCTGGGATTGCAGGCTTGATCCACCTCTCCCGGCCAGAAATTTTTTGAAAAGAAAGAAATAGGCCGGTCGCGGTGGCTCACACCTGTAATCCCAACACTTTGGGAGGCCGAGGTGGGAGGACAGGTTGAGCCCAGGAGTGTTCGAGCCCCGCCATCTCTATTTAAAAACATAAACAAAAATTTAAAATAAAATAAAAACAAGGTTCAAAGACTCCTTTTGTTACTCATGGTTGCATTTTAATTAAGAATTTAAGTAGTCTTTGAAGTTCTTTTGGGACCTACACTGCCACAAGGTTATCATGCCAAACATGGAATTCAAGAAGCCCCCGCAAGCGGATTTCATTAATTGCAAAATCAGTGCAGGGATCTCTTGCTTCCCTCACCTACCCTCATGCAGGTGGTGGTGGCGGCAGCGCGGAGCGGCTTCTGAAAGTCCGGGAGCTCTTTTGTTCCTCTTTAGCAAAGCGGAGGTGCAGTGGGCTGCAGCTTTGCGGGGAGAGCGCTCGGCCCCCAGCACCTCTCTCTAGGTCTGCAGGCACTGAACCCTCGGGAGGAGGAGGGAGGAGGAGGGGGGAGGAGGGGGGAGGAGAGGGAGGGGGGAGGAGGGGCGGGCGCGGGGAGCCCCGGGGGGAGGAGGGAGGAGGAGGGGCGGGCGCGGGGAGCCCCCGTGGGAGGCGCGGCGGGCTCGGGGAGCCCCTCCCCTGGGGCGGGACAAGGCGCCCTCCAGGCCGCGCGTTGCAGGGCAGAGACCTGCCGCCTGCAGTTTGCAGAAGCGCTTGCAGAACGGATCGGAGCCGCCGCGCCTATCAGCGGATCTCCGGAGCGCGCCGGCGGAGGCCCTGCGGGTCTGCCCGTCAGTCCCCGGGAACCGCCCGCCGAGCGCGGAGCCGCCGCCGGAGCCCGAGGCCCAGGACGAGGGTGAGTCCCGCAGGCGCCCGCCCTGCGCGCGGCTTTCCCGTTTCGCCGACTTCCCTTTTCCTCTTCCAGGCGTCCTCTCTGAGCCCACGTTTATTTTTCCTAACCGCGCGGGCAGATCACTTCCTAGAAGCTCCAGCTTTCTTTCATTGACTGGTTTTTTGGGTAGCTTCACGTGCCTCATCTCACGGCAGCTGCCCGTTGCCAAACAGCATGAATGAGTGATGCAATCCTGCACAGGAGCACCCTGGGTGCAAGACGGGCCGGTCCCCGAACTCGGACGGAGCTGGTTTCCGACTTCGTCCTTCTCTCCCATTCAGAATTAGAATTTTAAAATAATACTTACCAGGTACCTTATACCGATACAGCTTCAAGTGGAGAATTAAGTAAATCATGCTTTCATTCATTAAATGTATTTACTATATTTTCTTTTCTTTGCATGTTTGTTTGTTTTTGAGACAGTGTCTCGCTCTGTCGCCCAGGCTGCAGTGCAGTGGCGCGATCTGGGCTCATTGCAACCTCTGGGCGCCGGCTCCAAGGGATTCTCCTGCCTCAGCCTTCCAAGTAGCTGGCGCCACTACGCCAAGCTAATTTTTGTATTTTTAGTAGAGACAGGGTTTCACCATGTTAGCCAGGCTGGTCTCAAACTCCTGGCCTCAAGCAATCCACCCGCGCGTCAGCCTCCCAAAGTGCTGGGATTACAGGTATTACCCACTGTGCCTGGCCACTATATTTTCTTTGTGTGTAATTTGCATATTATCTCTTTTTAAATATTTGATGACAGATATTGGAATGGGGATCAGGGTGGAAAATAATAAAATCCAAGATTGCTGTGTTACAGTACCACGGAGGTTTTCAATATCATGGCCATAGTCCTGTCAGTGAAAGGAAGTCAGGACTTTTAACATTTTTCAAATGACTTAATATATGCCTGATACCTACCTTTCTTCTTTTCTTTTTTTTTTTTTTTTTTT